TATATATATATATATATATAAATATATATATGTAACAATTTCCCCCCAAGTAAGAAGCGAGAGTGGCAATATTACGCAGGGGGTTACAGCGAATAAAAATGAGACAGAAGACTGAGTATAGGGGAATTCAAGAATGGATAAAAGATGAACGCGTTTCAAGACAACAGAAGATGGCGATTTACGTTGCCTTTACAATTTTGAAGATTGTAGTCTTCATGAAAGTAAAAAAAAAACGGAAGGGAATTCCAGTTTCTAGACGAAAAGAAACTGTTGGAGTAGAAGTAGCGCTTATATAGCAGAAGCTCCAACCCATAGATGATAGCAATATTCTGGACAAATGGTAGATATGTAAAAGATATTCTGGAAAGACACTTTGAAACAACTTCAGTTGCAAGCAGACGTAACAATATGATATATATATATATATATATATATATATATATATATATATATATATATATATATATATTATATAATCTTTCCATTTCATGTCATCGGAAAAGATTAGCCAGTGATGTCTTCTTACGTTGCCTTGTCTAAACTAGTCATTATTATCCCTATATTCGTAAATCCATTTTATTTTTACTCTATCTCCTGAATCAAGAATCCGTCTCTGTCTAGCACTTGTATGAAAATGTTTCTGTTCGTATGGTGCTGAAAAGTAATTTTAAAAGATATAACATTTTTGAAATCTTTTGATAAAATCCTCCTCCTGTAAACTGACAACAGTCAAAATTTAAGAAGAAAAATCAAATTAAAATATCGCATTTGCTAAAACAAAACAAAAGTTTGTAAAATTTGTTAACCTGAAGTGAAATATAATGTTAGCTCTGGCGACGATGTCTCTTCCTTTTTCTTGGATTTTTTATATTTACCGTTATTTTTATGTGACAGAAGAATTATTCGGATCGAACATTGACACATGATCGCATTAATCAAGGGCGATATATCTTTTTTCTCTCACTTTCTCGATTATATTCGACTTAACATATTGTTAGCGTCGTTGCTATGATTATTATTAACGCCGTTGCTTTCGTTATTATCCCAATTATTCTTCTTGACGCTATTTATAATTTTACTTTTACTTTCACTTTCACTTTTCAAACAGTATTTCTCTGTTAAAGTCACTAAGTGTTCCGTTTTCTTTTCTTTTTCTTTTTTTGCCAGCATCGTTGTCTTCATTAATAATCCATCATCTTTCGAATGTCCATTTCGCTTGTCGCTTTGTCGATTCATATTTCCAGTTGTATTCAGAAACTTGTTAATTCTACTTTTCTCGACTTACAGTTTTAAAATCATATTTGGAGATTTTTATGCTTTTCGTGCAATTGGAAAAACTGCATTTCTTTATCCTCTTCTTCTTCTTATCAGTATTCTTACTATTATTATTATTATTATTATTATTATTATTATTATATTATTTCTTTCTTTTTACACTGGCCTCTATGTAGAAAGGATTCGCAGTGAAATTAGTAATTTTATAGTCGTTTTTAATGTATTTTCTTTTCCTGAATTTCTTCCCATTCATTCGAAACGATTTAATCTTAAAAAATAAACTACTAACGAAGATAAAGAAGAAGAAGAAGAAGAAGAAGAAGAAGAAGGTGGAGAAAAAGGAGGAGGAAGAAGAAGAAGAAGAAGAAGAAGAAGAAGAAGAAGAAGAAGGTGGAGGAAAAGGAGGAGGAACAAGAAGAAGAAATAGTCGGTATCATAGATTCAATACGAATGATCTTGTCCTTAAGTTTTGGGTTTTGTTCAGCGGCATTTCAGCCTCTATTCTACTTTTCTCGACTGACAGTTTTAAAAATTATATTTAGAGATTTTTATGTTTATCGTGGAATTGGAAAACTGCTTTTCCTCATCTTCTTTAGGGCATGGTCTTTCAGGAATCCCTTCTATAAGTCTACTGGAATCTTTTCCAACCAAGTCGAGGGCTCCAACTACAACAGGTATTGTTGATGTTCCCATGTGCCACATTTTTGAGATTTCGATTTCAAATCCCTGTATTTTAATAGGTTTATAAAGATCTTCAAAGATACATTATAGTCTACAGGGACAGCCATATCAATAAAGAGGCAATTTTTTTGTTTGCAGTCTCAAACAACAATGTTTGGGTGGTTAGCTTTGATTGTTCTGTCAGAATGTATTGTGTAGTCCCATAAAATTGTTACAGGTCCTATCTCTGTAAACTGATCTGGGTGGTGTTCATACCAATTTCTTTCAGTTTCCTTCCCGTAGAAGTTGCAAATTTTCAATTGCAGATATTGGCCCACTCTGTCATGCCAGGTTTTATATTCAGTGGGTGCCAATACCTTGCAACCTGATACAACATGGTACTTTTTTTCAGGATATTTATCACAGAATTTGCATTTTTTTCTAAAAATACTTTAGTATGTGTGCTTGATAATTTCTAGTTAGCAAGCATTTGTCCTATACAGCAAGAATAAACATTAGGTTTCAGCTTTTAGCCCTGCACTACGTAGCCACTGATAGGTTTATTATTATTATTATTATTATTATTATTATTTTCTTTGATTTCTGGCGTTTACACATTTCTTTCCGGTCCCTTGGGTACCTAAGGTTAGAAATGGCGTCATGACACTTTCCACTGACAAAAAAAAAAAAAAAAAAAAAAAAAATTAAATTACATAGATAAAGCCCTTCGTAAGGTGTGGGCTGTACTTGTCAGAACAATTTTTTTGTATTTCCTTGAGGCATGGACTTCCAGGAATTCCTTCAATTAGTCTACTGCAATCTTTTCCAACCAGTCCCAGGGCTCCAACTACAACAGGGATTGTTGATGTTCCCATATGCCACATTTTCGAGATTTCTATTTCAAGGTCCTTGTACTTTGACAACTTTTTGAATATCTTCAAAGATACATTGCAGTTAGCAGGGACTGCCATATCAATAAGGAGGCATCGTTTTTGTTTGTGGTCTTTAATAACAATATCTGGCCGGTTGGCCTTGATTGTTCTGTCAGTGTGTATTGTGTAGTCCCATAGAATTGTAACAGGTCCTATCTCCGTAACCGGGTCTGGGTGGTGTTCATACCAGTTTCTTTCAGTTTCCTTATCTTCAAGCAAATTCCCTTTGATTCTGGTATTTTTAATATAAATATGTATTTTCATATTTTCTTAGTGTTTTGTTTGGGGCTTCAATATTTCCTCATAGCTGGGACCCTAACAGGTGTTACCACTCCGGGTAAACGGTGGATCTAGGAAGAACAGCAATTAAGAGGTGGTTCCACGCTTTTCAAAACAATTTCCAGATCAGAGCTCTTGCTGCCGGATGTAGTTTATCGTCATACTGAGGACTGAGAAAAAAGTAATCTGACGAAAAAGAAAAAATGAATAAATAAAAGAAAGGATGGAAAAGAAACGTTTTCTGAATTGAAATCAAAAGCGGATGAATCGAAACAATAAAATGGTTTTAAAATTAGGAAAAAGAAAAAAAAATACATTCCGTTTCTGTTTGTTTGTTTGTTTCTTTTTTTTAAATTCTGTTCATCTTCTTCTCTATATTTTTTAGGGTATTTTTAGGGTATTTTTAGGGTATTTTTAAATACGTTTTCTTCTTTTCCTTGTCTTTTTAGGCGCTTTACGTTTTCTTTCCCTTTTTATCTTCTCCCTGTAATCAAATCACTTGAAAGTGTTCATTTCACAACCTTTGATGGAAAATAACACACCAAATCTAAACACGTTTCTCCACATTTTTTTTACTTCCTTTATGCCTCACTTACATTCAGTAACCCCCCCTACACACACTTTCGGCCTGAATTATAATCCAGATATATCAGTCGAGGGGGCAAGGCGCGTTCTATTTGTGACTGACAGCGTCGGAGTAGCTCTTCTCAAATTGCACAAGGGACAAAGAATCATGACAATTCTCCGACCCCACATAGCCACACATAAGCCACACCGCTTCGCTTCAACTCCATCACCTCTTCTTACTTTTCGACTCAGCGATAATTCTGACATGACTGATCATCTTCGATCCAAGCAAATCTCATCAATTAGACGAAGAAGTACAAGAAGAAGAAGAAAACATTGCAGGCCGCGTTCCGTGTCTCTTCCATTGTTCATCTCTCTTAAAAACAGAAGAAAAATTCCCCAAAAATAAATCAGGAATAAGGAAGAAGCAATATCATATTAACATAACCTGGCCTTTCCTCCCCCACAAATAACTGGGTGTTGATTTTTGGGTGGGCTGATTAGCTTTCAATGAGCTTATTATCGTCAAAGTTTTAGATTTTTTCGTGAAATTATTATTATTATCATTATTAGTAGTAGTAGTAGTAATATTATCGATTTGTTGATGGTTGCGTAGAATTGGGTCGTCCAAACTTTGAATAAACGTGAGTAGTGTGATGGAATAATAATAATAATAATAATAATAATAATAATAATTATTATTATTATTATTATTGATATCGATTAGATGAAAGTTGTGTTGATTTGGGCTGTTCAAATTTGAATAGATGGTAGCCGTGTAATGGTAGAAAAAATGCTAAAAATGTTTCGCCGGAAAGCTAAGAGGAAAATCAGAAATTTCTGGATTTGCTTGAGCATATGTATATATATATATATTAAATCCAAGAAGGAAATTCGGATTACCAACACACAAACAGAGAATGTCTCATATCGAAATATTTAACATTGAACATGAGGAAAAATTATTTTTAATAATATGTGGAATCTCCACTTTTACCTGAAGACGGTCGCGAGACCAGAAACCCGTGTCGTAAAATTATGTAAAACAAAGCATAATATTTTTTCTAAATAAATCCACATTACAACGAAAAACTTTAGCGGCACCTCTCTTCTCTTCTTTTTAATATATATACTTTTCTCTCGTTGGAACCACTACATTATATTTCTTTTATATATATATATATATATATATATATGTGTGTGTGTGTGTGTGTGTGTGTATGTAGTTTTTTACTTCCTCTGTGGCATCTCGCTATGTATAATCAGAAAATCCCAATAATGTCAGACTTACGGCCACATCACTTTGAAACATTGGTTCCTGCTCGATCACCGAAGTCAAGCAACGTCGATCCTGCTCAGTACTGCGGTGGGTGACCGCTTGAGAATACCAGGGCCTGTAAGCTTCGATGTGCAACTGGTTATTGAATAACGGCTCTGGAGAGGCGAATTCCAATTTCCGTTGGGTTCGTTATATTCCTTTAGGCGCAAATACCCCTGGGAATGGTATGAATCTCCCTCTTCTGCACCCAGCTATGGGTTAATCAGCAAGAGTTGCATCACTCAATCATTAGTATCTCCAAAAAAATAAAATTGTTGCAAAATAAAAAAAAAATATGGCTTTAAATAATCTGCAACGAGTTGACAAGCAGTAAAAAATTAATGAATCAAACAAGGCGGCTTATTTCTTTTTAACTAGATAAAAACAAAAGCAGCAAATGGAGGAAGATAGCAGGGAAGGAATAAAAGATGATTTACGCCGGAAAAAAAAGGAAGAAAAGAAAGAAAGAAGGAAAATCGGTGAAAGAAACACACAAAGTATTAAATTAAATATAGCATTAAATATAATGGAATAAAAAGAATGAATAAATGAATGAATGAAAAAAAGAAAGAAAGAGGGAAAGTAAGATTAAGCAAATTTTGGATGAATGAAAATAAAAATAGATAAAAGAAAGAATAAATTTTGGAATGAAAGGGAGAGGAAGTAAAATCTAAAAGAAAGAAAATCAGATAAACTGAAAATATAGAAGAATGAAAAGAAAGAATGAATGAAAAAATAAAAGAAAGATTATTAAAATATGTAGGAACAAAAAGAAAGAATGAAAGAAAAAAAGAATGAATAAATGAAAGAAGGAAGGTAGGAGTGAAAGAATGTAAGAGGAAGTAAATTTTGAAGGGAAGAAAAGAAAAATACATGTAAGAAAGAATGAATGAAAGAGCGATAGAACAAGAAAGAAAGAAAGATACAAGAAAGAATAACTGAGAAATTAAAAAAATGAATGTAAACAAAAAAAGAAATAATGAAAGAAAGATAAAAGAAAGAAGGAATGAAAAGAAAGAAAAAGAACTAAATAAAGAAAGAAAACCATGAAGAAATAAATAGAAAAAAATTCTGAGTTAATGCGATGAATAATAAACATTATTGCTTCCATTATTTTTCATTGTCTAATATCGTCATCTTTGTTGTTATTACCACAACATTTCTGCCATTGTGCCACAAACCGCCTTCTTCAGATGTCTGTCGTTCCGGTCAACCTTCAGAGAATTTCGAACTAAAAGGCTTTATTTAATCTACGAGAAGAGACTGTTCTCATTCCACTGACCAGATCAAGGGCAGGCAACTCATGATATTTTCCTTTTTGTAGATTAGTGTTGACTGGAAAGCAAGAGCAATTTCAATCGTAAAATGATCTTTAGTAGTGTACTTTAATTCGTAAAGTAGATCTACCAAAGAGTATAGCTTTGGGTTTTCGATCATTGGGCGCGTTTGTACAAAATTCATGCAGAGGATCTGCAACGTGCTGTCAGGAGAGCCGGATTCGCCTAGTCGCGTCCACCACCCATTCTCCTGCACATGACTCTTCAGCAGCAGGCTGGGCCTTCACAGCCATTAAAGAAGAGAATTGGAAACATATATTTCTTAGTCATTAATAGGGAAAACTAAAACCAATTCTTAGTTAAAAGAAAAAAAAATGTTGCCAACATCCAGAAGGAGGTTTACAGTGAAGCGTCCCCTTTATATTTGAATTTAATGCATATATATAAATATCCACTCCAATCACCCGAAATCAATAATTAAACAAATCACAAATACAGTAAATGCTAGAATAAATAAACTTTCCTCCAGTAAAACAATTTTTAACCAGAATAAGTGGGAATACAATAAAGCCCTGTTAAAAAGCAATTTTAAGCAAACACTAAATTACATAGATAAGTCAGTAAGTAAAAAATCCACTAAACCCAAAATAGGAAAAGGACAATTATATGGTTCAACCCACCTTTTTGTAACCTCTCCAATATTAATATAGGTAAATACTTCATAAAACTGATAGAAAAACACTTTAGCAAAAATGTATCTCTGAAAAAAATATTCAACAAGATGAATCTAAAGATTAGCTATTCTTGCATGAACAATATGGAACGAATTATTAGCTCACGCAACAGTAAAATTTTAAGAGACCTTCAGGATAATCTAAGACAAAATCAGGATACAACACGAATGGAAAAATCAACATGCAACTGCAGGACATGATCAGAGTGCCCAGTTGAAGGAATATGCATGGCAGAGAACACAATATATGAAGCAACAATTTTCCCCAAAGAAAAGGTTGAAGAGAAAAAGATATACATTGGAATATCAGCGGGAGATTGGAAACACCGACTATACAACCATCGCCAATCCTTCAAAAATAAATGTAAAAAAAACCAAACAGCACTATCAAATCATTATTGGTCTTTATTGGAGAGTGGCCTAACACCACAAATAAAGTGGAGAATAATATCAAGAGCCAGAACTCCCAAAAACTTCAGAGACAGATGCAACTTATGTTTGAAGGAGAAAATCTTCATAATCAAACATAAAGATCCAGACATACTACTAAATAGACACAATAAACTAGTTTTTAAATGCCGGCACAAAAACAACCTAAACCTAAGCAAGTACACTAAGAAATAATCATATAGGAACAGCAATTTTGAATGTTTTATATTCCCTTTGTTTTTAGAAATATTACTATGCACACGTGAACTCTAACACATGACTATATGTATACAACTATGATAATGTATTTGCACACTGAGACACCTGTTGATATGTACATGTATATGTTTTTATACGGAAAAAGAAGCATACCAGTTTTTTTTTTTTTTTTAAATTTTTTGTGTGTGTGGAGATGTACAATTAGATAGGTACTTATATGTTTTGCCATAAATATGAAAGACCGGGTAATATTATATGTGTAAAGATATAGATAATGTAATTAAATACTGAGATAGTCTTCGAACGCAGGCATAAGTGGATGCACGGTGGACATGAGGATAGGGACAAATACGTGGGTAGATATATGTAAGTGCAAATTAACGCATATGTGGGTATGTAGATATTCTGCATATTGCGTATGCATATGTGTGTGTATGTATATGTATGTATGTATGTATGCATATATGGGTGTGTGTATGTATGTGTATACGTATGGATGTGTAAAAATATATATATGTGCGTATGAATATATATGGATATGCAGATGTCCTTGTGTGTATATGTATATATGTAAGTATAAGTATACATAGAGATAGGTATAGAGACATGTGGATGTGCGTTTTCTCTGCAGGTGTATATGTGTAAAGATGGAAATATACATATATCGTTTCGTGTGAATGTGTGTGTAGGTGTATATAGGAACTCATAGGCATATAAGACGATATAGGTATGTGGTTACAAATAGGGGTTTAAGACATGTGTAGATAAGAAATTTGAAAAGAAGGGCCCAATTTTCTGCTAGTGACATCTCTTCCAAATTTCTCCTCTAATATTCTCCAATTGGAAGTGAATTTTAAATAGCACGAATGGAAAGTTTTAGATTAGTATTTTAATTGAGATTGAAAGATACTACCCCAATGTGGAAAATAAAATTATTTAAATGGGAATAACTGTTGATAACTGGATACATAAAAACAACCACGAGTTTACTTAATGAACAAAAATAAAAAACAATCACGAGTTTAAAAGTTTTATTGGAAAAAATTACTAAATTTAACTTGGATTATTCTTTCAATGTTCTGTCTATGGATTTTTCCAATCGACTGCTTCATAGAAAATACCCAAAACTCCACCGAATTTCAAATTAATTTCTTCGTAGATTGTTTGAAAATTTAGATATTTATCAAACCTTAACCTCCCAAATATGCACGTTAAAGTAACGCGAACTGACAGCGTCTAAGAATTTGAATGAAACCTGTCGTGTAATTTATTAGGGTTGTTGTAACGTCTCCCTTTAATGTCGTTCTTATCACTAACCCCTTAACCACCTTTATCTAGAGACGAGACGCGTTAAATTTGAGCAACATCCAGCCGACACACTGGGGTCAAAATAGGAAACTAAAATGATACATATGACACACTCATATCCTCTCTCCCACCTCACTTCCTCACTTCGTTAACTTTGCGTATACTTGATGAGGTCCGTAAAAAACGTGTGAATTTCTTTTCATTTTTTATTTCAGCTTTTGGAAGTAAAGTCTGATGATCCAGAACCCTGTGAAAGGGGTTATGGTGAAATAACAATATTATATGGAATCTTAAAGTGGTCTGTCTTTTATTCAATATATATATATATATATATATATATATATATATATATATATATATTGTTTATACGTTATTTTTATAGGTACAGATATTTCTTGGATATTCAGGCCGGTATATGTTGTTAATGCTGAAAGAGTAAAATTTCACTGTTCGTAGCATTTACTTTTAAAAAGTACTCAATATAAAGTTGAGCAATATATTATTATTATTATTATTATTATTGTAAGAGATTTCAACAAAAACGTGTTCAAACCGCTATACAATAGATTTCTCTTTGGCGCAAATCTGACATTTGATTGGTTAATCAAGACATAACCACTAGCCTATTTCATAATATATATATATATATATATATATATATATATATATATATATATATATATATATATATATATATATATATATATATAGATAGATAGATAGATATAGATATATATTGATATATTCATAATATATATATATATAGATATAGACATATATAGATATATATTTATATAATCATTATGTATATATATATATATATATATATATATATGTGTGTGTGTGTGTGTGTGTGTGTGTGTATGTGTGTGTGCGTGCGTATGTGTCTGCAAGCAGTAAAGCGGCAACATGTGGCAATTGATCCTCAATTACCCGAGGAAAATGGTTCAACCCACAAGTTCCATTTAACTAAAAACTTTGCAAAACAGCTTCAGGCCTCCAGAGGAGACACATGCATGTCCATAGAAGTTGGACATTCCTTTATTTTACTGAGCACTCATATGTCGAATATATATATATAATATATATATATATATATATATATATATATATAT